AAATTATTAGATATTATCACTAAAATGGACCTAACAGACATCAACAGAACATTTCACCCTAACACAAAACAATATGCCTTCTTCCTAGCACCTCATAGAACTTTATCCAAAATTGGCCATATATAGTCACCAGAGCAAGTCTGAATAGATACAAGAAGGTTGAAATAATCCTCTATATCTTTTCTGGATTTTTGAGTCAGTGTTATTCTGTGTAGCTTTGTAGACCAGGCTGGCCTTGAACTCACAGAGATCCACCTGCCTCTGCTTCCCAAGCGCTGGGATTAAAGGTGCATGCCATCACCACCTGACAATTCCCTGTATCTTTCCAGACCATTTCAACAACAACAGAAAGCCAGAATCTAATGGACACTGACCAACTCCTTACAGTATTCCCACTGAGTCAAGGAAGATTAAAGACAAAAATTAAAGACTTCCTATAATTTAATAAAATTGAATGCAGAACATACGCAAAGTTATGGGATCCAACAAAAGTGGTGCTAGTTGGAAAGTTTGTAGCACTAAATGCCTTCATAAAGAAATTAGGGTGATCTCATACTTGCAACTTAATAGCACATCAAAAAGCTATAGAAGAAAAAGAAGGAAACACATTCAAGAGGAAATAACTAAACTGAGCACTAAATCAATAAGATACAAACAAAGAGAACAATATAAAGAATCAATGAAACCAAGGGTTGGTTCTTTGGGAAAATCAACAAGAGAGGTTTGCCCTTAGCCCAACTAACTAAAAGGCAGAGAGAAAATATCCAAATTAACAAAATTTGATATGAAAAGGTGGACATAAACACAGACACTGAGGAAACCTGTCTTCCTTGAAATTAGAAAATTTAAAATAAAGGGACAATTTCTTCCAATAGATACCACTTAGCAGATTTAAATCAAGATGAGATGAACAATTTAAATAGACCTGTAATCCCTAAGGAAATAGAAGTAGTCATTAAAAATCTCCCAACCAAAGAGGCCCAGGGCCAGATGAGTTTAGCACAGAATCATACCAGGATTTCAAAGAAGAGTTAATACCAATGCTCTTCAAATTATTCCCCAAACTAGAAACAGAAGGATCATTTCCAAGTGCTTCTTATGAGGTCACAGTCACCCCTATACCCATACACACAGAACCTCAACAAAGAAAGAGAATTACAGATCAGTTTCAACTCAAAAATATAGATGCAACTGTATTAAATCGAAACTCACAAATAGAATCCAGGAACACATCAAAAAGACCATCCAGCATGATACAATGGGCTTCATCCCAGAGATGCTGAGATAGTTCAACATATGAAAATCTGTCAATGTATCCACCATATAAACAAACTGAAAGAATCCATGTAATCATTTCATTTGATGCTGGAAAAGCCTTTGAAAAAACTAGTACTACTTCATGATAAATGTCTTGGAGGGAAATGGATACAAGAGACATCTAAACATAATAAGGGCAATGCACAGCAAACCAGTAGCCAACATCAAATTTAATAGAGAAAAACTCAAAGCAATTCCACTAAAATCAGGGACAAGACAAGACTGTCCATTCTCACCATATTCTACGCAGTAGAGCACTTGAAGTTTTAGATAGAGCAAAAAGAAAACAAAAACAAAAACAAAAACAAAAACAAAAACAACTGAAGGAGATCAAGGGCACATAAAATGAAATTGCAAATGAGATGATTGTAAACATAACTGAGCCAAAAAGTTCTACCAGGAAACCCCTAGAGCTGATAAATAGCTTCAGTGAATTGGCTGATTACAAAAGTAACTCAAAAAGTCAGTGTCCACTACCAGAGAAGCTAGTGAACAAGGAAGATCCTGAGAGAGACATACATGGTCCCCTGGAGAAGGGGAAAGGGTCAAGATCCCCTGAGCAAATTGAGAGCACGGGAAGAGGGGGAGGGAGTTACGAGAATGAGAAGGGAAGAAGAGAAAGAATGCAGAGGTCATGAGGGAGCAGAAAGGTTGAGTCAGGGGAAGAATAGAAGAAAGGGTATGTGATAGGTAGGGCTTTATGTGTGGTAGGGTTTTATATGTGGTTTTATATGTGGTTTTATATGTGGTAGGGGAGGATGGGAGGGAGAAAGGAACTGGGATTGTCATGTAAAACAATCTTGTTTCTAATTCAAATAAAAAATGAAAGCCGGGCGTTGGTGGCACATGCCTTTAATCCCAGCATTTCGGGAGACAGAGGCAGGAGGATTGCTGTGAGTTCGAGACCAGCCTGGTCTACAAGAGCTAGTTCCAGGACAGCCTCCAAAGCCACAGAGAAACCCTGTCTCGAAAAACCAAAATAAATAAATAAATAAATAAATAAATAAATAAATAAATAAAAGCTAAGTATGTTTCTCTTAAAAAAGGTCACTGTCTTCCTATATACAAATTAAAAATGGCCCAAGAAAAAAGTAAGGGCTAAAATACCCTTCACAGTATCCACAAATATTAGACAATATCTTAGTGTAACTCTGGTTTCTGGCCAAGTGAGGTGGTTTCAGTAACATGGCCCCAAAAGGGGAATGGTACCATTAGGAGGTATGGCCTTATTGAAGTATGTGTAGCTTTATTGGATGAAGTGTTTCACTGTGGGGGTGGGCTTTGAGGTCTCTTTTGCTCAAGCTTTGCTTTTGTGACAGACAGACCATTTCTTGTTGCCTGGAAGATGGAGGATTTTCAGTTACTTCTCAAGTACATATCTGTCTGCACTCTGCCATGCTCTACGCCATGATGGTAACAGACTGAACCTCTGAAACTGTAAATAAACCATCCTAATTATATATGCTTATTTATTTATTTATTTACTTATTTATTTTGGTTTTTCAAGACAGGGTTTCTCTGTGTAGCTTTGGAGCCTCTCCTGGCATTCACTCTGGAGACCAGGCTGGCCTTGAACTCACAGAGATCCGCCTGCCTATATGCTTATTTACAAGAATGTCAATGATTATGTTTTATTTCCACAACACTTGAAGCCCTAACTAACACACCAAGCAGGTGAAAGGCTTTTATGACAAGAACTTCAGTTTTTGAGGAAAGAAATTGGAGAAGACATGAGAAGATGGAAAGATCTCCCATGCTCATGGATTGATAGGATTAACACAGGAAAACCATGGCCATCTTACCAAAAGCAATCTACAGATTCAATGCAGTTCCCATCAAAATTCTACCACAATTCTTGACAGATCTTCAAAGAACAATATTCAACTTCTTATGGAAAGACAAAAAAAAAACTAAGATAGATGAAAAAAATCCTGTACAATAAAGGAACTTTTGGAAGTATTACCATCCTTGTTCGGAGCTCTACTATATTGCTATAGTAATAAAAACTATATTGTATTGGCACAAAAACAGGCAGGTGGGTCAGTGGGAAGGGGAAAGTGGGAGAGGAATTGGAGCAAAGAGGGAAAGGAAGCTTTGGTCATGGTGCAAAAATAAATAAACAAACCAACAACAACAAAAAGAAAACAGAGTCTCAATCAAGACTGGTTAGGCTGTACATTCTATGAATGATTCTATTAATTGATGCTGAAGGGGACAGACCACTGTGGGAAGCATCATTCCTAGGTCTCTGGTCCTTGGTTGTGTAAGAAACTAGTTAATCCTGATCCACAGTGGGAGCCTGGGAATGAGCCCGTATAATTTGTGCCTTGAATTCCTTCAGGTCTACAATAGAACACAACCCCAGAAGGGAAATGGACCCTACTACCTCTTCCAAACTGCTCTTTTTCAGGGTGTTTGTTATCACAGCATAGAAACATAAGAGTATATAGGTAAGACATGTCACTCTGAGAAAATGTGATTTGTACTCAGGAGTAAGACCCCTCAGCACCCTCTGTAAAAAGAAAAGGTAGTATTTAGACAGCAGTCATTGGTCAGAAAGCACATGTGCAGTCCCCTACACTTTTTTTAGTGCCCTTTCCTTTTTTTAGAGAATTCCTAACCTCTGGATGCACACTATTTCAACTATAGTCAGGGTTTCCCAGGAAAAATCTGAAACCGTGCTTAGACCTACCCTACACTAGATGGAATTAGGAGTTCTGAAGAGCATAGGGAGCAGGATCATAGATGCTACATCCCACCTATGCTGATGGTATCAGGCAGTGTATATTGGACTTGTTGACCATGCCTCCTGCAGTCCTGGGCATGAGATTGCAGTTCTTCCAGTGATCCCCAGAGGGCGACATCAGTACACAAACTCAAGCCTCTGGAAATTGTTTCCCTGAGCTACCTCATGTGTCTGAGAAAATCTTTATGAATGGGGAATCTGAAAGTCCCCTCCCTCCTTGAGGAAGATAGGATTATCACCAGGAATCACCTAGGCAAAGAGCAAAAGTGACCCAGGAATGCCAGGGAGGACTTAGGCTCAGCCAACACATAATGCTGAAGGTTGCCTTGAAACCCTCCAAGGACACACAGGCCACCTCTTCCCCAACATGAAACTCCACACAGCTGCTTCTAGGCCACTCATCTGGATCTTTAATTTGACTGGTGAAATTAGTGTTGAAGGATTGCTCTTCACCCCTAGTCACCACTCAGCTGTTTTCTTTCCGGCCCTCAGACTTCCCTGTCATTTTCCTGCTGGGATTGAGTAAATCCCACCTTCCCAGAGCATTCAGAACACAGGGATTACTGGGTGCTCAGCTGGTTCTCTGTGTCACAAGGACCCAAAGGCATGATGGAGGCTCCTTCTGGTGCTGAGGGACCCAAAGCAAGGACACAGCAGGTGCCAGCCCTAGGATGAGTCATTGTTCTCTGAGGGACTGGAAATGCTTATCAGCCTTGTTGGTTACGTGTGTTGCTTGGAGGAGAAACATAAAGGGAAGTTAAGAGGCATGCAGGTCAGCACTGAGGCTGGAAGGAGTTTGATTCCAACCCCACACTCATAGCCCACTGGATTCTGGGAAGTGCTCCAGTCTGAGAAGGAGGAAGAACACCAGAGCCTGAGTTCTGCGTTGGAACTGAGGCCCTTCTCCTCAGAGACAGGACAGAAAGCGAGAAGATTGATGGAGGAGCCCTCTGTGCTTCTCTGTAAGAGGTCTAGCCCCTGGCAGGGTCTTCTGCTCGCAGGTAAGTGTAACCATTCTCTGACTATGTGAGGAGGGAAACTCAGAAGCAGGCTGGAATCTCTTAAAGAGGACAGGAACTTAGGAGAATTAAGGCTTTTGTTTGCAGTTGTGCAGAAGGCAGAGTGAGGGACTGAGGCTCGGCAGCCTGAAGCTACCAGTGGACAGGAGGTGATGATGGCAGGACAAACTCAAACATTTCATATTCACTGTGAATTGCATTGGCTGCAATGTTCTGAAGACAGCTCTTCGCAAACAACAGCTTGACCCTTGAAATAGAAATCAAACAGGGAGGGCTAGCTAGCAAGATGTCTCGACCTGAAACCGATCCTCAGTTTCCACAGTCGTTGATGCAGAGAAGAGACCCCTACAGGCTCTATTCTGCCTTCCACATAGATGTTGTAATGTGAAACACACACATTCACACACACACACACACACACACACACACACACACACACTCACACACACACACACACACACACATTGACACATGTGACTGCACTCAGATTTGTGGCATACATCTTCTTATGTGCACAAGGAGAAACCAGCCTTTGCTAATACACAAAGTATATTTACATAATGAAGTGTAAAATCATTTATTCCACACTTGAATAGTTTTATTGTCAGAAGCTCCAAACCTAGAAACTATGAAGAGAAATCTATAGAGACATGGTTTTCCTTCCATCCTTTCTTTCTCTTTTCCCTTTTCCACGTGTGTCTGAGTGTGTCCAAGAACTGAAACTTCCAAAAAGATCAGACTAATCCTGCCCTTAGAAATCACTTGTTGTGCTGGGTGGTGGTGGCTCATGCCTATAATCTCACCACTTGGAGGCAGAGGCAGGTGATCTCAGTGAGTTCAAGGCCAGCCTGGTCTACAGATCAAGTTCCAGGAGAGTCAAGCTACACAGAGAAACCCTGTCTCAAAAAACCACAACTAAAACCAAAACCATAATTGAAACATAACAAACAAACACAAAGCCCTGGTTCTAGTGGATCTGATGTCAGCACATTTGAAAGATGAAGTCATGGATTGTTTAGAATCACTAAGGTAACAGAAAAACAACAAAAAGTAAGGACTCTCCAGAGGATGATATCAGAGAGGCATTGCCCCTCACACCAAATAGTCTATGTGAGGAGAGATATGGCACACTGCAGGATGGGGAGACACCTGAGCCTAGAATTCCTAAGAGAGTTACTGACACACTCAGACACTAAATCAATGGAAGGCTCATGTCTGCAAAGAGGGTGGGCACTTCCTCACTCACACACCAAAGCTGAGTGATGATAACACTTGTTTAATTTTGGTGGGTTTTCTCTATTCTCTTCTAGCCTCCTTTTTAACCTTCTGCCACCTGTCCACCACTGCCCATGTGACTGTGACCACTGAATCAGTGCCACCACTAGTGGCCAAAGGAGATGACGTCCTTTTCCTTGTCCACGAACTGCCAGAAAATATTGAAGCCATAGCCTGGTTCAAAGGGCTAACAAATATGAAAGACGCAATTGCAGTATATGGACTGTTCAACAATGTAAGTGGGCCAGGGCCTGTGCACAGTGGTAGAGAGACAATATATCGCAATGGATCCCTGCTGATTGAAAAACTCACTGAGAAGGACACGGGATTCTATACCCTACGAACGTATAATAGACATGTAAAAATTGTATCAACAACATCCACGTACCTCCATGTGCAGGGTAAGTGATTCAATGTGAACTCTGAGAGCTAGGTGAGGTCCACGAGCTCCCAATTGTTCAGGTCAGCTGTTTCTGTGGATTTCCCCAGCCTGGTCTTGACCCTTTTCCTCATCACTCCTCTGTGTCTATAACTTGATTCCAGGAATTCAGCTTAGTGTTTATCTGTGTATCTCTGCTTCTGCTGCCATCAGCTCTAGATGGCATATAAGGTAGCCATCAATCTCATTATAGGGGAAGGGCATTTAAGGTAGCCTGTCCACTATTGCTTAGATTCTCAGACAATTCATGATTCTTATGATGCCTCCATTCAAGTGGACTTGAAGTCAAGAAAGCTAGGAGGTGAATTCAGGCGTTGCCTGCAAGCACAAGAAAAGCAGAGCAACAACAAAACTAGAGAGTGAAGACAGGGTCTGTAGGAAAGAGGGGGAGCAGGCATCATTCATCCCAATCACATCCATTGTAAATGAGAACAGGGGTCTGATGGCAGTAAGCTGGGGAAATATTGACATCTGAAGAGAAGGAGCCATACAGTGGAAATGACCAGTATGGGGACACTGAGAACAAGAAGGTCATGTGCTAACCCCCACCTAGTGGGAGAGGTTGACACTCACGCACAAACCAATGCTAAGCATCGGACACGGCTGCTCAGGACACAGGGCCTCATCTTAATCAAATACAAATATCCCAATTTATATGGATCTCTCTCTTCCATTCTAGATTTCCTCTGGAACTGTGGGCGCCATGCCACCTCTGCCCAGCCCACTTGTTACTCTACTCATTCACAATATCCCAGAGAATCTTCAAGGCTTTGTCTGGTTCAAAGGAATATCTGTGTTCTGGAAAAATGAGATTGCCCGATATACAATAGACAGCAAATCAAGCATTACAGGTCCTGCACACACTGGCAGAGAGACGTTGAATGGTGATGGATCCCTGGTGCTTCATGGTGTCACTCAGAATGATACCGGGTTGTACACCCTACGAATTATGGGTACAGATATGAAAAGTGAAGAAGCCCACGTACAACTCCAGGTGGACAGTAAGTGATTCTCTGTGACTGTTCAGTGCTGGGTGGGGCTTAGACACACAGGGCTGTCATGCCTGGATTGGTCACATTTCCCTCCCCAGTGTGTCTCCATGTGGAGGTTTGAGCATTTAATTTAGGACAAATATGACAGAGACAAATGGCCATAGATCAGCATGCATCTTGTCACTCCACCTGCATCAAGGAAGACCTTGATGGAAAGTAACTCATCCTAAAATATTAGTGTCAGCCCAGTGTCTTGGGGCTCTAGATCATGGAGCCCTGAGCCCTGTCATCTTTCCAAGGCTGTACTAAAGTGACCAAAGGGAGCACTTTCCCAGTACTCTACTCTGGTTTCCTGTCAAAGCTGAGAGGGGAACAATAGTTCTAGAACATCCATGTTAAACCCGATAGCCCTCATCCAGCAACTGGTGGAAATAGAAGCAGACACCCACAACTAATCACTGAACTGAACTGGAATCCAGTTGCAGTGAAGCATGAGTGAAGAGCAAAGGGGTCCAGACCAGGCTGGTGAAACCCACAGAAATATCTCTTGGTCTCCAGACTGATAGCTGGGATACCAGCATGGGAGTGATCCAGATTCCAGGAACATGGGATTCAGTGAGGAAACCTGGGAAATCTACAGGACCTCCTGTAGTAGTTCAGTACTTATCCCTAGCATAGGTGTGAACTTTGGGAGCCCATTCCACATAGAGGGATACTCCCTGAGCCAAGACACACGGGGGTGGGCCTAGGCCCTATCCCAAAGGATACCATAGACTCTGATGACACCCTATGGAAGGCCTCACAATCCAGGGGGATCAGAAGGAAATGTGATAGATAGGGTTTTAGTTGCAGGGGGTGGTAGGGAGAGGGCACTGGGATTGTCATGTAAAACAATCTTGTTTCTAATTCAAATAAAAAAATCTGCAGAAAAAAGAAAGCTAAAAAAAAAAAAGAAAAAAAGGAACATCCATGTTAAAATGGGGCATGTATTAGCTCCATATTCAGAGTGTAATAAATAAAATCTAGATACTGGTAGAGATACCATGGAGGAGTGCTGCCTACTGGCTAGCTCACTAGGACTTTCTCAACCTTCACGCTTATATCACCTAGGTCTGCTTGCCCAGGGTTGGAACCACCTGCAGTGGTCTCAATCCTGTCATCTCAATCTCCAGTTAAAAAAATATAGTATATTCTTGTACCCAGGCCAATCAGGTGATGGCATTTTCAACTGAGGCCTGTCATTCAAACGACTCTCACTTGTGACAAGTTGACATAAAACTAGCCAGCATAGGACCCATGGCTTTTAAAGACCCGAGTCTTCTATGAAGATCAGACTGCTCCCTGATCCCACCCAGTCCTAGTCCTGAGGGCTGGCAGGCAGGGAAGCTACAGCATCTATAGTGAGACATCAGGGTTTGAGTGGAGCCTAAATTTAGGAAACTGAAAAAAACATATAATGTGAAAATCCCAGTCATGCTAAGGCCACATCTTAACCCTCATTTTTCATGAGTGTGTAATGTCTGACTGAGAGCAGCGAGGGAACAGTTATGAAGACACATGAGGGGAGAGCTCCATGACATGGAAATGCCATTATTTTTTGTACACATGTAATGGAGGAGGTCATGTCCCGGACTGTCATTAAGTGGCATAGACATACCCACTCCTGTTGCTCTAGCTGGAGTAACATATCCATCTGCTCCAGAAGGAGGCCACCATGTTTACCTTATGCACAGTGATCTCCATGCGATGGCTTTTTCTTTCTGTTTTCCCTCCCAGCCTCCCATTCTCCATGCTGTAATCCTCTGACCTCTTCCCAAGTCATGATCCAATCAGTGCCTCTGTATGCTGCTGAAGGGGAAAGTGTTCTTCTCCAAGTTCACAATCTTCCAGAAGATTTCAAAGCCTTTACTTGGTACAGAGCCATATATCGTGTTCCGCATTTTGAAATTGTCGAACACAGCAGAGAACTAGATACCATTACCTGGGGAGATCAATATAGCAGAAGAGAGACTGTGTATGACAACGGAACTCTGCTGCTCCAGAACATCACTGAGCAAGATGCAGGAATGTACACACTAGCAATCTTGAAAAGTGAATACAAAATTGAAAATGTCTATGTGAAAGTACATGTAAACAGTAAGTGACTCTCTATGGTCTCCAGCTGCTGGGTGCGGCTTATTCTAATTCATACACTGAACTGTTAGGACTCGCTGTGCCTGCTCTGTTCCCTACTGCATTGTGTCCCCACAATAGGGTTTGGGCACTTAGTGTAGGACTCACATTGGGGAGATGATCAAGTATTGGTTAGAAACTTTCACCTGTCTTTAATTGCATAAGAGAGAACCTGTTCTGGATAACTTATCATAAGGATGCCAGCCTCAGGGCAGATGCTTGCAGTTCTCACCATGTACATACAAGAGAGACTCTGTGGGAGTCAGGCAGACACTGGATGAGGAAGTCATGTCGTCTGCACAGACAGCACTAGGAAGCCCTGATTCCATAACTTTTCTGCTGGCTGCACTCTAGATTACACTGTGGCGATTTTGTCAATGTCTGTTGTGATTTCATTTTATGTCTTTACTGACTCTCCAAATCCCTTAGAGTATAGAACCAGCTGTGTACTGCCTTGAATGTTGTAGTTAGGTAGGTCACCTGTGTATCTCCTTTTCCTGAGTCTCAGTGGACAGGTGTCAGGGCCATTGGCCTATTGTTGTGATGGCATATGAGACTTTACAGAAAGTTGGAAGCACCAAGGGAAGAAACAGCAGAGGTAGCTACTCGAGATTCTTGCTGCTCCTCATGGAGCAGCCTGGGGAATTTTCTTCTGTAGTTAAATGGAAACAGGTGGTGCTGATGTGAGCAGCTCCCCATCCCAAGGTCAGATCATTGCTCACAATTAAGCTTAATCATGGACATGGCAATGATCATGCTGTGTGTGTCCTATTACAGGGAAACAGTCACAGGAAACAGTTCCTAAACCAGGGTCATAGAGTCCCTGGGTAGAAGAACCAAAGCACAGGCTATATCTATAGTCACAGCTCCAAACACTGCCCTTGGAAGCTTTATTAAGTTTGAACTAAAGAGGGGCTGGTTGAGCTCTCTGGACCACCATCATTTGATACCCTCCTCTGTTTCTTCACAGAACACGTGGCACAGCCCTTTGTGCGAGTCACTAACAGCGTAGTCTCATCACACAGATCTGCGATCCTCAACTGTGTTTCACCTGACACTGACGTCTCCATCCGTTGGTTCTTCAATAACCGGCCCCTGCGTCTCTCAAGGAGGATGACTCTGTCCCCAACAAAGTGTGGACTGAGAATATACCCTGTAAAGTTGGAGAATATTGGAGAGTATAAGTGTGAGGTCTCCAACCGAGTCAGTTCGAAGACCAGTCTTCCAGTCTGGTTTCAGTGAGCTCTCCTTCCATCCTACAATAGAACGCCAGCATTTCTTTATCAGAGAAAACTTACATCGTAAAATTGATCAGCTATCATTTAGATATATGCAGCATGGCGACTCCTGTCTATATTTCTGATATACAGGCCAAGATTTATTGTGAGACTATATGTCCAAGTCAAAAATCAAGAAACCGATATGGTAAACAGAAATGAAAAGGAGTTGATAGCTAAGGTTATGGATCAAACATAGTCAAACATCAGAATTCATGGGAATTAATTTCAGGAACTGCCAAATTTTGGATGCTCTGAGTCAGTTGTAAAAATTGTTGGGTGTTTGCATAGCGAAAAAAATCCTGTCAAATACATTCATTGTTGAACTAATTCATTAAATAATCAACTTAAGTGTTTATATCTCTCAACCTTATAGACTGTAATCTCTTTTGGGAGTTTCTTTTGGAATTTGGTAACAAAAAATGCTATAATTATCTAGTCTTCAACATCTATCAAAGACCTGAGAAGGTTATAACGTTAACTGAGTAAACAGGAAGTGCAGAGCAAACAGCTTCCAAATTTTAGAAATGACAGAGACATCTCACTGTCTGGAGAGTCACCCCAAGATTGCTCTGTACCGTGGAAGCATCCATATTCACCCCCACGCCTTGGATATCTGACAGAGTTTTCTATGAAGCAGGGTTTTTGAAGGACTGTCCTGTCTTGTTTGTCAAAGTTCAGCAGTCATCTTCTTAGAGTCTTGCTTGTCCAATTTGGACAGCACACTGTCAGCAGCAGAGGTAAGGACAGTTTTTATTTTTATTTTTTGGTACAGAAGAAGGTGAAGAAACCCACCTCTAAGGTGCAGAAAACATATTCAACAAAATCATAGAAGAAAACTTTCTTACAGAATACCAAATAGAGTAGACCAGAAAAAATGTCCCCTAGCCACATAATAATCAAAACACCAAACTTACAGAATAAAGAAAAATATTAAGAGCAGCAAAGGAAAAAGGCCAAGGAACATATAAAGGCAGACCTATCTGAATTACACTCGACTTCTTAATGGAAACTCTGAAAGCCTTGATACATGTCCTACAAATGCTAAGGGGACATGGATGCCAGCCCAGGCTACTGTACCCAGAAAAGCTTTCAATCACTATAGATGGAGAAAACAAGATATTCCATGACAAAACCAGATTTAAACAATACATATCCACAAATCCAGCAATACAAAATGTTCTGGAAGGAAAACTCCAACCCACGGAACATAACTACACTCACAAAAATATAGGCAATAGATAATCCCACTTTACCAAACACCAAAAGAAAAAAGGGGGCAGAAATCCACACATAATAGCACCATCACCAACAAATCCAAAACAAACAAGAATCAACAATCAATGGTCATTAGTATCCCTCAATATCAATTTTCTTAACTTGCCTGTAAAAAGATACAGGCTAACAGAATGGATATGAAGATAGAATTCATCTTTCTTCTGCATACAAGAAACACATCTTAACGTCAAACACAGATGTTACCTCAGAGTAAAGGGTTGGGAAAAGATTGTCCAATCAAATAGACCCAAGAAACAAGCTGGTGCAACAATCCTAATATCTATCAAATTAGGCTTCAAATTAAAATCAATCAAAAGTGATGAAGAAGGGCATTTCATACTTATCACAAGAAAAGTCCATCAAAATGAAGTCTCAATTCTGAACATCTATGCACTAATACCAAGGCACCTACTCTCGTAAAAGAAACATTACTGAAGCTCAAATCACACATAAAACCTCACACACTTATAGTAGGAGACTTCAACACCCTGATCTCACCACTAGACAGGAACACCAGATAGAAAGTTAAAGAAACAAAGGAACTAACAGAAGTTATGACCCAATTGGGATTAATAGACATCTATAGAACTTTCTATCCAGACACAAAAGAATATACCTTCTTCTCAGCGCCACATGGAACCTTCTGTAAAATTGACCACATACTTGGCAACATAGCAAACCACCACAGATACAAAAAAATTGTAGTACCCCCTGTATCTTATCAGAACACCATGCTTTAAAGTTAGAATTCAACAACAACACCGATTGCAGAAATCCTGCAAACTCAAGGAAATTGAATAACACCCAATTGCCCCATTCCTGGGTTAAGGAAGAAATAAAAAGAAATTAAAGACTTCCTAGAATTTAATGAGAACGAAGGCACGACACAACCAAACTTATGGGACACTTTGAAAGCAGTGCTAAGAGGAAAGTTCATAGCACTAAATGTCCACATGAAGAAACTGGAGAATAGTCACACTAGAGAATTAGCAGCATGACTGAAAGCTCTAGAACAAAAAGAAGCAAACTCACCCCAGAGGAGTAGATGCCAGGAAATAATCAGAGGGCTGAAATCAACAAATGAGAAACTAGGAGAGCATTTCAAAGACTCAATGAAACAAAGAGTTGGTTCTTTGAGAAAATCAACAAGATAGACAAACCTTTGTCCAACCTAACCAAAAGGCAGAGAGAGCGCATGCTAATTAACAAAATCAGAAATGAAAAGGGTTACATAACAACAGACACTGAGGAAATCCAGAGAATCATCAGGTCATACTTTGAAAACCTGTACTCCACAAAATTCAAAAATCTAAAGGATATGGACAATTTTCTGCATAAATATCATGTCCCAAAATTAAATCAATTACAGATAAGCAATTCAAGTAGACCTATAACCCCTAATGAAACAGAAGCAGTCATCAAAAGTCTCCCAATCAAAAACAGCCCAGGGCCACATGGTTTCAGTACAAAATTCTATCAGAAATTCAAAGAACAGCTAATATCAACAGTCCTCAAATTGTTTCATACAATAGAAGCAGAAGGGACATTGCTAAACTCTTTTTACAAGGCTACAATTCCTTTGGTACCAAGCCACAACTAAAACAAAATAAGAACTACAGACCAATATCCCATCAGTGGCTGATGGAAGCAGAGGCAGAGATTCAGAATCAAGCACTGAACCAGAGCCCATGCCCTATGGAGGGATACTCTCTCAGCCTAGATACATAGGGGAGCTCCTAGGCCCTCCCTCAAATGATGTGACAGATTTTGATGATCCCCCTTGGGAGGCCTCACCCTCCCTGGGGAGTGGGTGGGACATGGGGTGGGGAGTTGGTAGGGGGCATGGGAGGGTGGGAGGGAGAGGGAACTGAGATTGGGATGTAAAATAACATTGTCTTAATTTAAATAAAATTTATTTTAAAAAATGGGGTACAACTCTAAACAAAATTCTCATTGGAACTATCTTTTATTTTTTCACTCAGAATATTTTTTAATTGAATATCTGGCTATCCTGGGTAGTACAGTTTAGATGGGTTGACACAAGAGTAACCATCACACTCTCCTTCTCTGTGGAACAATCTTAAATGGCAGAATGACACTTTAGGAAATGATCAACATCCTTAGTCATCAGGGAAATGCAAATCAGAACAACTCTGAGATTCCATTTTACACAAAAACACCAATGACAGCTTATGCTGGAGAGGATGTGGAGAAAAGGGAACACTCCTCCATTGCTGGCGGGAGTGCAAACTTGTACAGGGATCAACCTACCTCCTGACCCTGCAATATCACTCTTGGGCATATTCCAAAAGGAGGCACACTCACACTGCAAACACATTTGATCAGCTATGTTTGTAGCAACATTATTTGTAATAGCCAGAACTTGGAAACAACCTAGATGCCCCTCAACTGAAGAATGGATAAGGAAAATATGGTACATTTAAACAATGGAGTACTACTCAGCAGTAAGAAACAATGGCATCCTAAAATTCACAGGAAAATGGACTAGAAAAAAACCATCCTGAGTGAGGTAACCCAGAACCAGAAAGACAAATATAGCATGTACTCATTCACAAGTGGTTACCAGACATAAAGCAAAAGATACCCAGCCTACAATCTACAACCCCAGAGAAACTTGAACCCTCTTCCAGAAACAGACGGAAGCAGATGCAGAAATCCACATTTAACCAATAGGCCAAGCTCCTGGAGTACAATTGAAGTGAGCCAGGAGTGATAATATCAACAAAGGAGTCAAGACCATGACGGGGAAACCCACAGAAACAGCTGCACAAGTGGGAGCTCACTGACTCCAGACAGACAGCTGTGGAACCTGCTTAATACCCAACAAGGCCCCCCTGAAAGTGGGTGTCATTTGGGGGGTTGAGCAGTCTATGCTGCAGCAGTGGAACCAGTGTTTATCCCTAGCTTATGAACTAGAATTTTGGAGCTGGTTCCCTATGGAGGGATACCTTGCTCATCCTAGATACAGGGCTGGGGGTGGCTTGGTCCTGCTCCAAATGATGTGACAGACTTTGATGATTCCCCATGGGAGGCCTCACCTTCTCTGAAGAGTGGGTGTGGGGGTGGTGGAATGGGGAGAAGACAGGGGGTGTAGAAGGATGGGAGGGAAAGGGAAATTGTTTTTTTATTTACATTTAAAAAATTAATAAAAATAAAAAAGAGAAAAGGTGGCTTATGTCCTGGCACCTGTCCTCTGAGACTCAGGTGTGGGAGATTGCACAGGTGATCTACTTAACTGCTGCTATCATGGCTGTTCATAGCACTTTCCACACTCTTTGGGTCTTGGGCAGTCAGTAAAGACGTGTTCCCTGTCAGCCCTAACAGGAAGTCAAACTGACAAGCTATCCATGGCCATCTGGAGTTGAGCCTGAAACAGAGGTCTAGAGCCAGGGCTTCCAGATTCTCACCTCACTGTCATGGAAACAGATTTCCCAGATAGGCCATGCCTGATTCCCAAGGGTCAAGGCCATGGTCATGATGAGAGCCCCAAAATACTGAGGCTGACTGACATCCTTGGGCTGAGTTACACAGCCTACACCCTCCTCTATAGGTGGAGTCAGGTGAGGGGTTGTGGTCTATTTTACTATGTCTTCCCTATGTGTGTCCTGCATCAAGTTCTCAAATGCCAATGTGGAGACAGACTGTAGAGGAAGCAGGCAGTCCACA